AACGACTCGTTGACTTATTTTAATCCGATTTTGCTTCATTCAGAGCTTAAGAATGAGGAAGTTGATCCAGATGAAATGATAACAATATTGATCTTAAAATTATTATATTCATTAATTATTAATAATAATTAATTCAAATAATTTCTAAGAGAAATAAAATAATTAAGAACTTCATAAATTGAGTGATTCAGTAATTAAACACAATAAAGCTACTTAATAATTCGTGATGTACCTATACTACAAGCTCTGTATGCTAATCAAGTCAGTATCAAACCAGTTTACATAATGGCGGTGTGTATGATGATACGAGTCGCCATTTGTACGCATGAAATTTACCCTTCTAAAAAAATAACAAATCATTAAAAATCATTATAAATAATACTCAAAACAACTGTCAATAAAACAAAAGTTTTTTAATTAAAAAATTTTTTATCTCCACATCACTTTAATGTCAGACTTAAAGTTTAAATCTGCCAATTATACTTGCTAATCTTTAAGCTAAAAATTCCAATGAATGAGGGAAAGATTTAAAGTTGATACTCGAATGATTGTAAGCTAGGGGTGGTTAAAATTGAAGTTTCGTTAATTCTCAAAATACTCCATTCCGAAAATTGACGAGTTTGCCAATTGAGGATCAAGGAAGTATCTGTTGAAATGAACCTAAAGTTCTTGCTGAAGATATATATTTGCAGGTAGGTTTATATAAAAAAGGAGAAAAGAGAGTTAGTCGGGCTTGAATAATACTCTTTTAAGGTTGAAGTAAATCCATGGACCTCTAGAGATCCTTTTCTGCCTTGAACAACACGATGCAAACATTCAGGTAGTCAATTTGGTCATGAGAAACATTAAGACATATAAATGATGTGGGTGAAAGAGTAACGCGTTTATATATTTTTGTACGGATAAAAAAGGATTGGATATATGTGTAGTGAAGGTAAACTCGATGACTTGAAGAGGTTCTTCTAAGAAATTGGTCAAATTCGGTGCTTATACAAAAGACCGTGTGACTAGTGGTTCAAAGTTATTCTGTTTGCATATTACCTGACTTGAAGTTTTCCAAAATTAACATCTTTAGTCTTCGTTTTGTTTATTCATTTTTTTCTATAAACATTTCATTAGAATTCTTTTTTTTTTATTTTTCCAAGTGTCTTAATGGATTTCCTCATTGTCTGCTATTTTTTTGGTCGTTACTTTGCCGGATGTCAAAAAAAAGTGAAGCTGTTGATTTTACCGGCACTGCGGGGGCGAAACGTAGTCTTTAGCCAAAAGATAGAGCCACGAACCATTTTACACATGGTCGAATATCAGAATGAAAAGATATGTTTATATTAGAATTCATTGATTGGATGCGTCACTTGTTTTGAACCACTTTGTGCCAGTTAATTTGATAAAATAATAAATAAATCAATGATACAAATGTAAAATAAACATACACAAATCATTCTTAAAAAATAATCATATGAGTTATTATTTACGATTAATTACATACGTAAAATGTTTGTGAGAAATATTTTTTGTCTTTTTCCAACGAATCGTCATCTTGACCTTTCTCCTAGGTTCATAGTGACCTCGTATGGAGGTTCATGAGTAGCTTAAAAAGAATAGAAATTCCTTTCATAACATCAACTATCAGATCACTAAATCCGGCTGTAAATTATTTTCATTTTTTCTACCGCATTTCTGACCTTTCTCTCCTCTTCAAAGACAAAAGATATAATAGAATTTTTGAGTTGAAAAATTAGATTATGGTGAAATAAAGATCATCATGACCTCGAATTGTGATCAACTAACCGCACGGTCGCCATTAATGCCGGGCCAATGGATAGCACTTCCGAGAATTTCATCCACATTCGAATTCGTCTCGTGTTCATCGCTTTAGGCAGCTCGTCATGCCTACGCTATTATTCTTGAACTACACAAAAAATGATAGTCGTTGCAGTATTTTTCAAAATGTATATCTTTCACGCGTGAAAGGAAGAAGCATAAATAAATTAACTAAACCAAAGAAAAATCAATGGCTTTTAAATATCATATGGTCAATATTGCCAGAAAACTTACGTCATATTTCTAAAAAAATTTCAAACAGACAATGGGTCTAAAGATGTTTGGAGCACTGATAGAAAGATTTATTCAAGATGAATAAATATATTAGAAATGTTTTCCAGCGTTTGTTTGATGCAAACACAAATGTATAAGATATGTGATCTGTGGCTCCAAAAATGGTGTCATTAATAATGTACTCATTATTTTATCATGTGTATTCTTCTAACTTATCCCTTTCATCCAATTACAGCATTTTGGTATAGAAATGAAATGTTTTAGCTATTAATAAATCACTCATTTGAGTTGTATAAATCTACTCGAATAATAATAATTGCTTGACTATTAATAAATATTTACTTCATCTTTTGATTAAGTAAGACATTTATTAATTACTAATTATTCATATTGTAAACAAATCCTTTAAACATTGAGGAAAATGCTGACTGTAATTGTTTAATTAAACATAAAATACACAAAGGAAATAATTTACATTACAAGCATTGGAAGTATTAATGATGATAAACTGGTCATTGATAAATTGACAATTGTTTCTGTACTCAATTAAATTGGTATTACGAAGGAAATATTTCTTACATTTTATTAAACCTTGAAATTTACGGATTGTCAAACAAGTTTATCTTTAAATGTAATAGTATATCGTGTGATAGAATATGTACGGCACAGTTTCGTGTTAAGAGATTGGTTCCCACAGCGATAGAATCAAGTGGTTGCTGCGGCCTCGAAGTGACGTGAAAAATCATGAGAGCATAGAGCGCAGATAAAAATTAGTGTGAGTGCGTGGGTCTAATTTTTGACTATCTAATGTTTTTAGAAAAGTGCGTACATCCGGAAAACGGACGCACGCACTGACACGCATACAGCAGTGACGCGCACGCTACTACGGGAAGCTTGAATAGAATGTTCTAGGAGTCGTCTAGATATTGAATAACATCTTCAACTGCCAAATATTCCAATACTTCGATAACGATACATTTTCGAGTTATTAGCAACTCTCTAACAAGTCAAAAAATTCTCAAAGAATAATTCCTTCAAATGTCTTAGTAACTTAACGTAATATGTACTAGCATCTGTTCAATTGATATGGTAAATAGTTGACGATTATTTCGGAGTCTATTTTGTAGAGTTGTTAAAAATTTGCTTTTTATTATATCGTATTTTTGAGCAGGTATGATTAGTACTTGAAATGTAATCAACATGAAGACGTTAATAAAATAATGGATATTGATATGAGGATGACAAAACCTAAGAATAAATTCATAAAAAGACATAGAACTTTGTTGTCTCTTTAGTAATATATAATTATAATTGATTGGAGCAATAAAAATAGTGAGATTGTTAAATTTTACTCCAAAAAGAGGAGGTAAAAATAATTTGAAAATGATATGATAGTAAAGAAAAAATTAATTTTTTTTATTTTAATTATCACCAGGATAAAAAGAAAATATTAAAAATGTAAATTTTATCATAACCTACACTGCAAATCCAAGATTTTTTAAGTATATTAAAATAACTTACATAAAGTGTGTTGAATATTTAATTTCCATAAACAAATTATCGAATTTAACACACTCTAAAATGAATAAAAAGTGACTACAAAATGCAATAGTTGGTATATAGAGTTTTAACATTCAATACACTTAATGTGCGTTTTTTTAATTGACTACAATTTACAGTGTACATTGTGATGATTAATATTTTCTTTAAAATATCATGTCACTTTGTGATACACATTCAATTTCTTTGAAAAATAGAAGGGACTATTAAATATTTGAGTACAAAGTCTGACAATGTTTACATTAATTCAATGAATTTAATTCCACGTGAAATTACCCTAATTAGTATATAAAATTGTCTTTAGGTTTTTTTATGCATCATCAAAAACTAATCCATTGAATAATGAGATTTTCTTGGAAAAAATGACACCTGGCCTTTTAGTTCCAACAGCTTGAATTTTTTTGAAGATTTAAAATTCAAAGAAATGACTACAAGAGCTACTTCAAAATATATATCGACGTTTAAAAGGAAAATTTATCGATTCAAGGTGACTTAAAATGAAGAAACGTAATGACTTATACTCTTAAATGTTTTACGTAATATGTTCAATGATATGATATATTTTATTTAATTAACATGCCTTTCGGTAAAACACAAAGCCCTTAAAAAGTTTCAAATTTTCCGTTATTTACCCAGAATTAGACATCACAACAGACGACTACATAATACTATTTCGAGCGACCATGCGGCTCACGCATGTTTGAGGCCACCCGTATTAAAATGACGTTATATAGTTACCACCATCACCTTCTATACGACTGAGTCATATTTACTTACAGTGCGCAAGCTGACTCTCGACTTGACGCCTCATTTCTTTCAAAAATCGAGAGTCAATCTCTCACACGTGCCGCGGGAACATATTCTCATTATCATTTTATTTTTCTCTGCATTTGATATTCCATAAAAAGAGAAAAGATAAAAGAAGCCAGAAATAAAAACTGGCGCCAAATATGCTCGACATGCATCTGAAAGCGAAACGTTAATTTTTTTTTTCACTTACCAAGTTTTATTTCGTTATGTGTTAATGTAAACCAAACAAAATGACAATGAAAAAAATTCCATCTGGTTATTAATAAGTAATTTATAATAGTCAAGCTGGTACGTAAACGATTGTTCATGTTTAATATATAATATCTTATCATAACGTTTATATACTGTGTGTATTTGGTTAGACGAAATAATAATCTATTAAATAGACAAACGAGCTGAATTGCGATTATCGATAAATTGTTTGAATAACATTTGTGATAAAAAACTTACTGAGGAATAATTATATCGAAAAATTGGCGCCAAAAAAGTAAATATGAGACAAATTAAAGTCCCATGTTTATATATTTAGTCAATGATAAGAAAATAATTGATTAGCATTCAATTGAAATTACCTTGCGGTTTCACCATTTTTTTCTTCGATATCCAAACGTTCCATTTCCTTCTGCAACATTCCACCCTCGCTGAATTTATCCAAAGACATTTTCGAAGTGACGTATACGTTTTTTCTTTTACGAAAAGAAATTCACAAATAAACGAAAGAACAAAAAAACTGGCCTTTTTTTACTCGTATTTACAAGAACTAGCTTGTGTCCGAGTTCAACTATAATTTATATATTTATATATATATATTTATTATAATAATAATTATTATAATACATATATAATATCCATATATTTATATATATATTTATCTATTTTTATCTTAGTCTCTCTCTTTCTTTCTTCCACTCTTTCACTTTTTTTTCTTCACTCTCTTTTCCTATTTTAATATATTCCTTATAAGTTTTAAAAGGAGCTTGAATTTTCGTTAACTGGAGCTAACGACTGATGAGGTAGACTCAAACACTGGCACACACTAGTTATTAGATTATTCCGTGTAGTTCTCGAATGACACAGAGTCCAACGAGAATAAAATATAGCGTTGATGATGAAAAATATATGTATATATATATATAATTTTTTTATATATAAATATATATAATCACGAACTTAAGAACGATAAATTGTACACGACAATACACCACTAGCAACACACTCTTCACGCGGGTTTAGCAACCGGCGACAGTTGTTACGAGAATGGTAGCGTCCTCACTCCTCCTTCTTTGCCCCTCTCCAGCTCTTTGAAATTGTGTATCCCGACCGCGTGCAGTCCCTTTTCCTTCCCTTCAGCCTCCCTCACCCTTCCCCTTCCTTGTTCGCGCGCTTCTTTCTTTTCCTCTCTATCTCTCTTGCGCTCTCTTTTTCTTTGCACCTTTCCACACTGCCTAGATGCACACGATTTATATCAATCGCGTGCTATTATTGCCGAAAAGTAGTCAATTATGATTTTTTTTTTCTCAAGCTGTTTAGTTATCCGCTAAGAGGTTCAGCAATGCATCAAGATTGCTAATTACTTTTTTTTAAAGCAGGTGAGCAAGAGGCATATATGTACACTTTATTGGATTTCTTTTAGCTCTGGCAATGTGACGTAGTGTTGAGACAGTGGCACGGTTGTAATCGTTATCTCTGAGGAAGTTTCAAGTGCAGAGACTGGCGTCCAATATGATGAGAGTAGTGTAATGCAGTTGTAATAGTAGATGATTAAAGAGGGACTGCTTTTAAAGATCTTCCAGATACTGAGTAAAATGACAACTACGCTTTGGATGTAGCAAACACTGACGCACTTTGACACGCAACAAGGAGGGATGAAGAATAAGGAAACAGAGAATTGTGAGGCGCCGCGGTAGAAGCCGGGCGCGTGCCAAAGTCAAAGAGTTCTTGCTCTAGTTGTTTTATGCTACAATATAAGCAGTTGTTATTTAATGAGCGATGTAAGTGTGATGATGTGCTGGCAAGATGAATCCGGAAGTCCTGGTTTATTAAGAAGAATGAGGATAAAAGACGTTGATGTCTTGTCCTGATGTATTTTAGTTGTATATCAACTCCCACCCACTTCTGCCACCCGGAAACTAAAAGATATGCAACTGAATAAGAATAGAATACTGTGAATTTTGAAAGAATGTCCGAGACCGAAAAAACGGAGGTGGCGGTAAGCTGCACGCGCGCGTCGCGTATTTTCTCCTGTACGATACTGGCCAAAACGTGAATTGCCTGCTCCTCGGATTTCGGGATACGCGCGTCACGTACATGCACGCGTGCGTACTGTCGGGGCGGTGGCGGCGGTGGTGGTGGTAGCCAGTGTTGAAAATCGTAACGTCGTTGGGTTTAACTGAAGCAGATGGTAATGTTGGTGATGTTTGTGAAGCTGATCCGATGAGTCGCGGGCGGTGCACAGCCGTGTGAAAACAGCAGCGTGCTAAGTGTCAGAATATTGCCAGGATATCTATGCGAGAAAGCGCGGTACACTGATATTATTTTTATAATCGTGTGTGCGGCATAGTCGCGCGGGGTGTTTTAGGCCGCGCCCAGCCTACCCCCACGCTCTAGTCCATCTATCCCCTCTGCATCAACCCAGATGGGGCGCGCGGTGAGCCGTAACTTATCCCCACTTTCTAAATGCGCCCCTGGTACCCGCGAATTCTCCCCCCGTCCCCACTTAGCTGTCCCCGGCGCCCGGGAGACTTCCTACCCCACCCCGTCCCACGCGTGCGTTCTCTCGACCCACAGGCGACCGCGCGAATTGGAAAATGCCTACGTCATCGAGCCGGTAAGCGCCGGAGACATCTGGCGGATGCCGGTAAACAACTCTTCCAAGTTCTTTTCACCCCGAACCCCTCATCCCAACAACTGAGGAGCGAAACGTAACGCGGACTTCCCACTACCGCCAAGGTCAAACCCCACTCTCTTCTCACGTGGATACTTTTGTCTCTCTTCTTCGCGTATTTACCTTCACTCTGTCTCACTCGCACTAAAAGACCCGCCACTATGACGAGCAAGATCGATGCTCCAAAATCGAGCGCAACACAAAAAAATATCCACGAATGAAACATCGTGACACATTGCCGCACGAATTTCGTTGTTTGTGCACTTTTATATACTATATACGATTATTCCATCACATCAATGATCGCCTTTATATTCTTTTCAACTGTTTAGCTTTTATTCCTGTAATATCAATTGCATGGAAGAAATTTTTCCACAAAACGGTCCATTCAATAAATTGACATTTGACTTTAAAATGTATGTATATTCATAGTCATAAATCAATGCTTAACATACAAAAAAAAAATGTAACTAATCTTATGAAATTGAATTTATCGATTAATTTTGTAAGCTGTAATAGAAGAATGTGTGGCGTGCTAAAAGATATTTGTATGATTTTTTATTCGTTTGAATTTTATGTTGAAAAAAGATTGCTAGATGAATAGAAGAATAATGGAGACTTTGGAAGTGTTTAAACACGAATTATTATCTTGTTAGAACAGTTGGAGTAGAACAAGTTTTGAAATTGGAGTAGATCATCTCTTAAAAACGAATAGTTCAATGTTTATGAAGGTTAAAAAAAAACAAACTTAAAAATTCTCGAGTGCTGCGATCTCGGTTCTCTATCCAAGTTATCCTCAGGCGCCGGTCCCACAATTTTAAGCGCTAGGATATACTTCCTTCCGAGAATTCTCTCTCCAGGTCAAATGCGCGGCGACGCCCTTTCAAATTCGCCCGCTGATCATCTAGTAAACGAGATACAACTGAGGTGGTCAAATATTTTTATTTGATAGCGGAATGTTTTTTATTATTATTATTATTATTACTATTATTATTATTCTTATTCATACCGTTATTATAAAATTCGAAAGCTTCTGAGCGATATTCTCACGCTTAAATTCTCAATATTACTCTTCCGGTTGAGCATAAATTCTTCAGCAAACCTGATTTGGCAATGAAATTCAAATAAACTCGCATCGAAGACGACCAAGTAATTGACCAACCAGCAGCGAATTCTTTTTTCTTGTTTTAAAAATTTTTTTTCTTTTTTTTTTATGACATGTTAATTATTTATAGTTAATTACACTTCAAGTTAAACTCAAAATAATTGTAGGTTTCTCAAAATTCTTTTCGCATTACTCCTATAGGCCTTTCTATGCATGAATGAAGGCCGTTTCCGTTATAAAATCTTTTTGTTTGAACAGGTAGAAGATTTTAAATTTTCTTCTTGGTATTCTAATAAAGAAAGATTTGAATTTACATTGAAAAAAAATAATATTCGTTAAAAAAAAAATGAATTTTTGTCAATAGACGTGATGATTTTTTTAAAACTTTCACGCTAAACAGAGCATTTGGAAAATTCATACAAAAGAAGAAAGAGAAATTTTTCCACGGATTTGATTCATATAAGCATTTTACCATATTTATCTCTCAAGTATAATCGAGGTCTGGCATTAAAAAAACATGTCTTAAGTGTTAATAAACAGATTTCGGCTTCCTTTAAGGATGAATATTCATAATCTGAAGAAATGCTACTTCTAAGAAGAATTTCCATTTTTTTCATTATTTTTAATAAAGTCATTTCTGGAAAAATGTTAAACTTTTGGTAATTTTTATAACAAAAATTTAATCACGTTAATATAAAACGGTCTATAAATTATATCAAGCTGTAGAATGTATAATAAAATAAAAAAACAACAGATTGATAGACAGAAAGGTCGAGTGTTCAACTTAATTTCAAGTTAAATAACAAGCTATCAAAAAAAATATTTTATTTTAGGTACATTAACATCAGTCACCTCAAGTATATATTTTTTTAGGTAATTCAACATTCACCGTATTTTTATGGTTTCATTAATTAATCATAAACAGACAAATTTATTTTATTATCGTGATGTAATAAAAGAATGGAATATTTTTAATTGCTCCTTCTTGAAAAAATTTTTATGTCTATGTATTGACATGTAGCTTGATAGCGTAATTGGTGAAATAATTAATGTAATTGCAAAATATTGGAATAAAAAATATAAATAGTGAATTATGTTTATTGTTTAGTGGTGAATTTAGAGAATAGTGAAAATATTGATGTGGAAAATGAAGCATGAAGTTGTGATTATTGTAATTGGTTGCTATGAAGTGACTCAAGTTATTCTAGGAAAGAATTGAATTAATTAAGTTCTTTAATAAACTCATAGTTGATTTTTATGTCATTTTATAATTATTAGATAAAAATTATTTATCATTAAATATTAATAACAATTAATTCAATTAAAAATCTTACTCAATTTTTGATTATTCAAACAATTTTATAGCTAATTATTTAGATAAATAAAATTCATAATAAAATTAAATTTTGTACTGTTTTTGAAGTAAAATATTTAATAGAATATTTGAAATATGTGAAACCAGCATATATAATTAATACTGAATTTATTTATTTATGAGTATATGATTTATAAATTAAATTATAAATGATAAACTATTAAATAACGTAACAGATTTTGTTAAAATATATTCTAACATTTTCAATACTTTTTTCCTCCTTACTCTTCTCACATGTATTTATCTTAATCCAAACGGTTTCCAGTAGAAATAAAAATTTTTTTAAAGTGTGACACTATGTTTATTATTAACTACTTTTGGCACCACATTGATCCCATAATTTTCTTTTTTTTCTTCATCCTAATCATTATCATCAGACAGAGAAAACCCTGATCTGCATTCCGTACCCTAAACAGAATTTAAACTTGGTACCCTAGCTTGCCTAACCACTGATACCTATTTCTAAATTTAATCAAGAATTTTCTCAGAATTATAGATCAGACTGAAGAGATAACAGTCATAACTCAGCATTACATTAACCAAAACACAAAAAAAAAAAATTTCATGATAGATTTTTTTTTTCTTGAGAAAAATTTTTTTATATTTTTATATAATTATTTTCACCTTGAGTATGTGTTCCTCAAGTTCATTATATTTGTCTCTAAATTTTTCTCTATTTACTGCTGTTATTTGTTATGATACTAAAATAAATTTATTTATGATTAATATTTTTATCAGTCAAAAATAAATATTTTTTTTACTAATCTTAGCCATGAGATTATTATCAACTGTTGAAACAGGGATTTTATGAATATTTATCAACCATTTTCATAAAAAAGAAAAAATGATTATTAATGAATTCATGGTAATTTTCTATCACACATATCCACCACAAATATTACATTTGGTTTCATTCAATATTCATGTGTAATATTTACTAATTATTCACTAAACAACAACTAAATTCAATCCAACAATACTCAATCATGTTGAATTATGATAATTTCAAAAATATCATAAAAATTAAAAAAGGGAAATCTATGTGAGCACATGTGAATACTTCAATGTAATGAGAAGTTGGAGAGTTGTTATAAAAACATATTGATTGATAAAAATGATGTTAAAAATAATTCAAAATACAGTAGACTAGTTTGTATGATTAGCAAATAAAAAGGATAGATGTAGAGTTAAATATAGGAAGCAAAGTTGAATTGTTTTATTATTAAATATATATTTTATTAGAAGTCTGTGATGGTAATAACACAAAAAAATTCTTATTATTAACTTGAAAAAATTCCTTTAGTTTATTATATTTTCAGAAGTATTCTGTCAACTTTCATCAATAAGGAAGTCCTGTGATAGATTCAATTTATTGCAAATCTAAATTCCATTTTCAATGTACTAGGAATAAATTGAATAAAATATTAGGAGATATTGAATCAAGTAATATTTTTTTTGCTATTATAAATAAACTTTTACTGTAAATAATAATAATGAAAGCTAGAAGTGATTTAACGAAATGACAATTTATGGTTGAAATTCATAGTAAGTTGTATTATTGAAGTAACAGGGGATGCACCTAGGGGTTCTTCTCAATGAAACACCTGAACTGTTGAGTCTTCCAGTATAATGGCAAAATTATGGTTACAAATAGTTGAATTACGCAGATGTTAAAGGCCTAAAGTGGCTCTGAGTCTGAATGAACAGGCTGTAAAATTGCGGAAGGGCCTTGAAGTGAAAGTACGAACGACTTGACATGTTAGACAACTTGGTGTGTGAGTAAGTGAATTCACAAGGTTGACAAACTTGATTGTCATGGTTGTAAAATTCCTCTTGGTACACTTAAATTAGCTCTTTGGTGTTGTAACTTCCACATGT